ACAAATGGTGCACACCGAAATAAATGCGCACGTATTGCGTATAGCTCCGCCCGCCATATCTAACCAATCAGAACTTAGTGGCATGCAGGTGTAGAAATAACACTTTGCAATTATAAAAAAAATATGGTTCTAATAGATTATGGTGTTAAAACTTTGTTGCTACATATGTAAAAAGAATCAAATTTTAATTGAGGGACGGTAGCAGCATTAAAATGTTGTTTACCTACAATTTTGAAGAAAAGTAGTAGAAAAAAAGTTTGGTAAAGCAGCAAAAAAAATTGTGAAAAACGTCTCTTTTTTGAATCAGAAAAAAAGATATAGAGGGAATGAATCAGAATGAAATTAAAGCTGAACGATTTGGAAAAGTGGCTTCTATGCAGGCATCGATTCCAACTACTATTTCAGGACAACCAGCCATTTTTTCATCATCCTTAGCGCATCGCTCACTATTCCTTAATGGTCGTCAGTCAGAGAGGCTCGCCGGCTGGCACGGGTTGAGCGTTGCCGTCTTCGACGGATAGTCGAGCCGAAAAAAAGCCGTGTCTCGCTGCCTGTGCCCAACCGCTTGGGCCACTGGTCCGTTGCGAGTTTTTTCGCCACTCATCCACCACACACAGACAGAACACCTCTGTCTCTGTTGTTCGTCCACCACAACCGAGCACGAGCCATTTTCGTAATCGTTTTTTGCATCGCTCACCACCTCGCGACGTGCCTGGTGCGGACGTGAGAAAAACGGCGGAGCCGAAAAAAACGGGGACGCCGTCCGTCGGAAAAGCGCCCCTAAAATTATTTCCTTTTCTCATATGTGACCGCGAAATTGACTGCTGCGAGATGCGTGCACGATTGGGGTTTCAGCCGGTACGCGATAAAAAAAAACGCAAGGTTTATACTGCGAATTGTTGACGATGTGTTTTTTTGTCGGTATGACCGCTTAACTGCTAATAACTCACGACTGCACGGTATGGGAGAGGATACGGCAGAAAAGCCGCGGTTATCCAATGATGACTTGCTTAGGTCAACCTTTAAGTCATTTACTTTTACTTTTTTGCTCCTAAAAAACGGTTGCTGCTCTCCTCCTGCCACATGGTACTAAAGGACAGTAGCAGAATATCGATGAAGTGTTCTAAAATATGGATGAAGGAAAAGGTTTTGATATAAGAAACTTATTCAGCGGATAGGAAATTGATGAGAAATGATAAAGCTCA